GAGGTGGAAAATAATAGGCTTTGATGCGGAGTACCTTGAAGATACCTAAAAATACAGAGAACAACCTAGTGAACAGTAATAGGTGGGGCAACAAATTGACCAACCACGTGTACAACATAAGAGATATCTGACAAGTAACTGTAAGATATAGACTCCCAACAATAGTGCGGTACAGAGTAGGATTAGATAAGAGAGTACCATTAATGGAAGAATAACGAATATTGAGTTCTTAGGGCATCTTAATTGTTCGATTATCTAATAAATGAACTCGCAGAATAACATCTAATACATACATGGATTGACAACGAAGATAACATTTGGGAGAGGAAGTACCCTCAATCCCAATAAATTTTGGAGCTGACCCAATTCCTTCATCTAAAAATGATTCTACAATTGTTTTTTTAATAACCGTAGAGAACAATGGAGTCTGAGGAAGTGGACCACAAAAATTGAGCAGATTTATAATCACCAACACGAAAATCCAAATCACATATGGCCAAAAAAACTTGACAAACCATACCCTAGGAGCCTGTTTAATACTATATATTGCCTTTTGCAGGCTGCACACCGGACCAAGACTATGAGGTAATCCAAAAGGAGGAGCCATAAAGACTTTCAGTCGAATCTCCATTGAGAAAGACATTTTTTACATCCATTTGAGAGATACTCTATTGCTGAATATAAGCCCCTACAATCACCACTATGAACAATAGTCATCTTAACTGGAGGATTTAATGTCGTTCATTGTCTATGTTAGGCTCTTGAGCAAATTCCTTAATTACTAATTGAGCCTTGTATTGTTTCATATAACCATCAAATTTTAGTCTTAATTTTTTAAACCAATTTACAACCAACTGTTTGTTTGCTAGAGGGCAAAGGTACTAACTCTCATGTGCCAGTTTTATATAAAGTAGCCATAGGCAGAGGGAGATAGGGGCTAGGGTGGGCACATGCCCCCCCTCAAATATTTTTTTTTTATTAGTTAGATATATGTATTATATATTTATACATAGATATTAAGTGTGCCTCCCTCATTTATATTAGGCCCACATTTTTTACCCAAAATAATTAAAAAATTAAGTACATTTAAAAAAAAAAAAATTAAACTCACTATTATCTACCCAAACTTATTAAAAAATAAATATTGGACTTATCACAATCCACCCAAACCTATTAAAAACACAACTTTTAGCCCAACTTTTAAAAACAAAATTTTTGGCCCACTTGACTAAAACTTATCTTATCTTTTTTTTTTTTTTTTTTCTCTCTGTATCACTCACTCCTAGCTGCCCACTGCCCACTGCCCAGCCACAAGAAAAAGAGCAGTAATAGAGAAAAACGCAACACACAAGAAGCTCAGTTCTTTGAATTTTTTTGTTCTTCTTTGCACCAACCTATAAAATTATTTTATACATTATATTTACCCCCTAAATTTTTGAAAATTTTAATAATGGTTCTACTATTTTTTTTTAATAAATTAGTGGACCACTAACTCTCTAAAATAAATGTTAGTTTTGGATTAATGAAAAATTATTTTACATTTAATTCATATACAAAATTTTAGAGATTTTAAAATTTTTTATATTTTATTGAAATATATAATTAGGTTAAAATGTACTAAAAAAATTATTTTTTCTTTTTGTTAAGATTTTGTTTCGACTAAATAAAAATTGAATTTACTATTTCACAATAATTTAGTGTTGATTATTGATTTTTTTTATTCTTGAATTGAATTTTTTTGTATTAATTTCGGCTTAATGTTTTTTATACCAGTTATATTTTGCCTATATCATAGATATTCATGGCTCCGCCCCTAGCAATATACATTTTTTTTTTTGGATTTTTTATGTTAAATGGACTTCATATATCAAATATAATATAATAAATATAAATATGTTATACAATGTGATTGGTTAGAAGGAAAAAAATTAGAGTACATAATTAAAGTGCTCACTATGAACAAAATTTCTAGCTCCACCCCTAAAAGCAGTAATCTCTTCATCCATAACCTGTTTCCAAAGAGGATCAAGAACAACTTTCTTGTAAGGAATATGTTACGAAAGAGTGTATAGAAGGTAAGAAAGAACAAAAATCAGTATAATAACAAGAGTTAGAGAAACCAAAGTAATCTGCACATTACAAGGTCGCCGAGGATAACGAGAAGCATAATCCGGGATGAGTGACTGGCAATTCAGAAGAGAAAGACATATCAGAAACAATCACATCACCAACATAAGTGTTAGAGAGAACATCAACCGGAAATGAGGCAATATAAATGAGATCATATTTATGCAAAAATGACAAACTAGATGGAATAGAGAAGGGAATATGCATGAAAACAGCATTACGAGAGACAGAGTTTGTGTGCAACAAGATCATAACAACGATAGCCTTTTTGACCTCACCATAACTAAGTAAAACACATAAAATTGAACAAGCAAAGAATTTAGTACGAAGAGTACTAGAAGCAAGACAAATCAAGTTCATGCAAATATACGCTAAGGGAAATAATCAGGTGGTTTACAACGTAGTTTTTCAAAGGGAGAAATTCTAGAGGTGATGATAGTGGGAATGTAGTGAATCAAATGGACCCCAGTAAGATTGCTTCCCCCCTAAAAAGATCTTAGGACATTTACCGACAACAAAAGAGAGCTTGTTGTCTCCATAATATGTCAGTGTTTGTGTTCTGCTACACCATTCTATTCAGATATTTCGGTACAAGATTGACAAACAGTGTCATTAGATTTTAATAGATCATGAAAAGAATTGAAAGAATATTATCTTCCTTGGTCACATCGCAAGTATTTAATAAATGCAGAATATTGGGCATGTATAATAGCACGAAAAGTAGTGAATATAGAAAAGAATTCAGAACGATGCATCATTGGATAAACCCAACAATATTTAACATAATATCTGGAACCTCCTTTTGTAGGAATAAGAGTTATTTCCCAAATATCAAAATGATCCAAATCAAAAGATGCAAGAGAGCTAGTAGAACTTTCGTTTAAAGATAATGCAGTAAATTTAGTTAACTTGCATCCACTACAATTAGAAATGTCATGACCCTCTAACTTACCCAAATTATCAGTACAAGCTAAAAATTTCAAACGAGGGAAACATGTCTAAGGCGAGAATGCCAAAAATAAAAATTTAAAAACTGTGGACTAAAATGAAAACAAGACAAATCAATAGTAGAAGCAACAATATCAGGAACATATAACCCATTTAACACATACAATCCTCCTTTTTTATTGTCTGTCCGAATCAACTTCTTGGAACGTGGATCCAATACAATATAACCAGAAGAAACCAATGGAAGGAAAGATTGAGAGAGTATTTGGCCGTTGAAGGAGATTTTATAACTGATTGGCAATCATAGTCAATCTTAAACTAATGGGCCGATGAGAGTAAAAGTTTTCACTTGTCATAATTGCAAATACTGAGAGTCGAATAACAACACTCAGTTCAACTAAACCAATTCAAAATACAAAGCTCAAGGCCCAATACAAGGGCTAGGTCACTGGGAAACATATCTGAAGCACTACCCATCTGAAGTTAATCATTTGAAGCAGATCTTGAAGCCATAGGAAAAAAAAAAACAGATCCGAAGCAGATCTGAAGCAATCGCCTTGAAAAAATCAAGATTCAAAAGGAAAAAAAAAATAGATCTATATAGATTTGAAGCAATCTCCGGAGAAATCAACATATCCGAATAGCTCTTAGTCGTCGGAGAAGACAATCTCCAGTTGCTGGAGAAGACGCTGTGTGTGTGTGGAGCTTGTTCCCGTCTGAGACTCGAAGTGGAGAAAGCCAGGGAGAGACAGAAAGCCCAAAATAAAGGCTTTTATACCTAGGAGTTTTAAGTGCAGAGTAACCCTTTCCCCTCCTTCCTCGCATTTTCATTTTTTCTCCAAAATAGCCCAAAACATTTTTTGGTTGTTTCCTAAAATCAACACTTTGTTCTCCATTATTTTCGGAAATTTTTTCCAAAAATTATCTGTTCAAACAGATTTTTGGTGTTTTCTTGTATTTGAAAACAAAAACTTGTTTTCAAAATACAAACCAAACAAACTCAAATGTTCTCAAAAATAAGGAAAAAGAGAAACAACGCGTGTGGGGTAGGGAGAGTTAATGAGATCTAGGCTTTGAGCTTTGTTAGCAACAAAAAATTCTTTTTCGTGGAAGTATTTAAACCCATTCCATTTTCTCTCTCCTCTTTGTAATTGAAGAGCATCGCCTCTCCCATTCCTCTCTCTCCATGGCCTCTCTCCATCCAACGAAGATCCAAGGTCTTTCTCGCCTCTGTCTGTGCAATGAAGACAACTCAGGTCTCTCTCTCGCCTTTAGATCTGAGTTAGATTTGTTAGGTTTGTGTGTGTGTTGATTTCTAGGTGTGTATCTGTTTGTGTGTGTCAATTTCTAGGTGTGTGTGTTGATTCCTAGGGGTATGTGTGTGTCTGTTTGTGTATGTGCCAATTTCTGTGTGTTTCGATTTCTAGGGGTGTGTGTGTGAGAGAGAGAGAGAGAGAGAGAGTCTGGGTGTCGATTGCTGGGAATGGTTAGATTCTTCATAGCTTCTTGAGATTATTAGCATTAGGAATTGTGTTCGATTTGTTCAAGCTAATTAAGTCAAGAGAGCAACATCATATTACTGACGTAATGTGGAGTTGATTGGGTGCTCAAATGATGTAATCTGTTTGTTTACTTCAAACTATGTTATATAATCCTTATCAAGCACTTGGTTTAATTGATTTTGCATGCTCGATTCAACTAAATTTGAACTAACTATTCATTGCAAAAGTAGATATGTGTGTGTGTGCGTGTGTGTGCCATTGACTGTATTTTGGAACGGAAATTGACTGTCAGAGAGTTTCTATCAACAAACCCAAAATCTGTCAGTTTGTTTGGTTTTGTGGGTGGAGGGTTTCACTTTCTTCTTACAGAACAGACCCTTCAATATACAGGAAAAACAGATTGTAGAGAGAGAAAGAGAGAGAATGGGTTCTTTAAGAAATGGAACAGAGAGAGGACTACTACATGAAGAAGAAAAAGAAGAACCAATATTAATGGAGCAATCACAGAGGTTCTGTATGTTTCCCATTAGATACCCACAAATTTGGGAGATGTACAAGAAGGCTCAAGCCAGTTTTTGGACCGCCGAGGAGATCGATCTTTTTCTTGATTTCCAGCACTGGGAAACCTTATCTGAATCTGAGAAGCACTTTGTAAGCCATGTATTGGCATTTTGTGCTGCATCCAATGGAATTGTTTTGGAAAATTTGGCATCAAGTTTTTTAAATGGTTGTTCAAATTCAATGGCCATTGAAACATTCCTTGTGTTGCTCAGAAGGCTAAGTGGGCTTTGAATTAGATTCAGAGCTCCACCTCGTTTGCAGAAACACTTGCCTTTGCATGTGTTGAAGGAATTTTCTTCTCAGGAAGCTTTTGTGCTATATTTTGGCTGAAGAAGGGGGGAATGATGCCAGGCCTGACATTCTCAAATGAGCTTATTTCTATAGATGAGGGTCTCCGCTGCGACTTTGCTTGCCAACTGTACAGTTTACTACAGAAGCAGCTGCTATATATGGCAAAAATTTCATCACATTGTGCATGAAGCTGTTGAAATTGAAACCTAGTTTGTCTGTGATGCCCCCCCATGTGCATTGATTGGCATGAATGCAACTCCCATGTGCTTGTTTAGCTCCTTTTGGTCTTCTTTTATTACGCAGCTTGAAGAAGTTAGGAAGTGTTTGTGAAAAGGACCTATGGTTACCAAACATGTTTTTGGTTTCATAATTTGTGAAGGATAAATGACTATCAAATATATTTTCTGTTTTCAATTTTTATCACAGAAAAAACAAAAATTGTTTCCGTTTTTTCTTTTTTTGAAAACACAAAAACAAAAGCGTTACCAAACGCACCTTTAATTACTTCATTATTAAAAAGAATACACAATAGAAGTCTTATATGTACTACTAGGGCAACATAAAATAAATCAAGTGACTAAACTACCCCCAACTATAACACTAAATATACTCTTAACAGATTCTATGGACATTGTCCATATTTATTGTTTGTCTAGAGCTTATTGGAATTTGATTATTCTATTTCGGTTTCTAGAGGTGGAATTGAGATTTTTTTCTTTTTTTTTTAATGGTCGTTACTTTTGGAGTTTAAATGTGCAGGTTGATAACTTCAGTGAACCCACCTTGGTGCAAAGGCTAGTAGAAGCTAAACTATCTCTTCCAAGCATTGTAAAACCTCAAATTGCTTGTGGTGTAGCTGATGCTCACAGTATGGTACTGTTTCTGTTAATTTCACATGAATTGATATTGTGAAATCTGAGTTGTTGTATTCTTAATTATCACACTAGTCATACAAATTCAATCGTTTGAGTGCTTCATTTGCTTCAGGCTTGAACTTTGAAGTTGTACTTCATTTCCCTTGGTTTTTGGACTTCTTCTTTTATATTCTGATTCAGTCAACATGGGCAACTTATGCCATTAATGTAATTGGTCATCAGATCTGTGTACTCGAATGAACTATCTTGCATGATGTTCAACAGGGAGTAGATTAATTTTTTATTAGAAATATTAATCACTGAAATAAGGTGGATTCTTCATTTGCTTCAACTGTGTATTGCTTGGAGTTTTTCCCCCTTTTCTAGATGATCTGATAGAATTCTTAGGCAAAAGATGCATGTCAGTATAGTTATCAATCATCAAATGTTTGAGGTCCTGGTTGAACTGAGTTGTTTTGACTGTGCATACCATATTTGTTTTGATGTCCCCAACATAGTAATACCAGAAACAAGAGAATACTTTGCTGGCCATTTCTGTTCACTTGTTGATCTCTAAGTGTTGGTAAGGGTGGCACCAGGATAGTTGGATGTTTCTGTGAAGTTCAGAAAGTAATAATAGAGGGCCAATTGGGAAAAAGAATTGTGTTAGAAGAGGTCGAGAGGTGGTATCTTGTCCTTCCTGTCACTCTCAACTTATTTTTATAGTTATCCACGAATACATAAAAGAAGGGTATGCCCTTATAGGGGTATACTTATTCCAATTTGTTAAGTTTAGAAAATGGAATGACTAAAATACAATATGAGAGAGTCAAAGAGTAATCTTACTTACCCTACCTATCACTCTCAACTTGTATTTATAGTTACCTAATAAAACACAAAAGACTAGTATACCTTTAGAGAGGTATACTTGTTACAACCATATTAAATACTAACAATATAATAATACTCTCAACGCTCCTCCTCAATCTAGAATATATATATATTCGAGTTTGGAACAAATATGTAAGGAGTGTGACTCAATGCTTTGTTGAACATATCAACAAGTTGACCCTTAGATTTTATAAATGGTATTGCAATATCTCCATCTAGTACCTTATCTCAAATAAAGTGACGATTAACTTCAATATATTTGGTCCTCTCATGGAATATAGGATTGACAGGAATATGAAGAGCTGCTTGATTATCATAGAACAACTGTAAGGAAAGTTGAACTAATACTCGGCCTCAACGTTGGATTGTGCGACCATAGTTTGTTTCTTATTTTTCCATGTCACAACGTTACATCTCCCCGATAGTTGATTTTCGATCTGAGGGAGAACCAACCCAATCAGCATATGTAAAACCTTACACTCTAAGATGTCCATTAGCTTGATAAAAAACCTAAGTCAAGGAGCATGTATGAGGTATTGAAGAATGTGAGGGACTGCATCCCAATGTAGTATTCTAGAGCATCCCATAAATTGACTCATGATAATAACTGCATAGGCAATATCTAGTCACGTAATAGTGAGATAATTAAACTTCCCAACCAACCTTCGATACCGACTTGAATTTTCAAACAGTGCACCGTCATCCATCAATAGTTTTTAATTCGGACCCATAGGAACATCGATTGGTCTACCACCTAGTAAACCTACTTCCTCTAATATGTCAAGTACATATTTTCTTTGAGACAAATAAATGCCCTACTTAGATTTGATAACTTCAATACTTAAGAAGTACCTGAGTTTTCCTAGATCTTTAGTATAAAATCGGTCTTACAAGAAGATTTTTTATTTTGCAATATTCTTATAATCATTACCTGTAATTACATTATCATACATATAAACAACTAGTAGAATGTACCCTCCCTCAGTTTGTTTATAGAAAACAAAATGGTTTGTTTGACATCTGAGAAAAGCAAACTCTAACACTACCTCTCAAAATTTACCAACCACACCTACGGTGACTGCTTTAAGCCATAGAGATATTTCTTTAGCCGACACACACTCTTATGATACTCCCCTTGGGCACCAAACCCAGTTGATTGCCCTATATATATACTTCCTTGGCCAAGTCACTATGTGAGAAGACAATTTTTGACATCTAGCTCGAGTAAGAGCTAGTCAAGATTAGCAGCCAATGGAATCAATACACGAACAAAAGAAATTTTGGCAACTTGAGAAAATATCTCCTCATAATTAATGTCATAAGTTTGAGTAAAGTTCTTGGCAACAAGTTGGGCTATGAGGCGCTCAATAAAACCATTAGGATTAAATTTGATGGTATACGCTTATAGATAACCAACATTATTTTTACTAGGGGTAAAGGAATAAGATTCGAAGTCTCATTATGATGTAAGACATGCAGCTCCACTTTCATAGTTTTCCTCCAATCCGAATCAGATAATGCACCCAGTAATGCCTTAGGACTAGAAATAGTGGACAACTAAGATTAAAAGCAACAGAAGGTAGGAGATAATCCAGTAAGAAACAAAATTAGTAATAGGATGGTTAGTAGCACAAGACTGAGTACCTTTGCGAAGAGCAGTGGGTATAGAGTCAGAAGTAGCTAAGGCACTATGATCAGAAGACAACAAGAAAGACGGTAGGGGCATCTCAGTCGATGGTCTCGGATGACGAAAGTAAATACAAAGTGGGACAAAGGAAAAAGTGGGTAGTAACACAGTAGGCAGTGGAGTAACAGAGGGTAAGAGAAGATGTGGTGTTGGAGGTGCTGCCCAATGTCAAGGTCAAGAGCATGAGCATGAGTAGGAGTTGGGAAATATGGAATCAATTTAGTGAAGGTGACATCAACACTAGTAAGGTATCTGCGAAGCGTGGAACTATAACAATGATATCCCTTGTTTGTGCGAGAATAACCAAGAAAAACCAATTTTATAGCACGAAGTGCAAGTTTATCAAATCCGGGACTCAAGTTGTGAAAACATACACAGTAAATGACCTTAGGAGATAAGGAAAATAAGGAAGAATTGAAAAAAATGACACAATCTGGCATTTGCCCATGTAACACAGAAAAGGGTATACGATTAATGAGATAACAAACAATAAGAAGAACATCACTCCAAAAACAACGAAGAACATTCATCTGAAATAAAAGTATGCGATTCACTTCCAACAGATGATGATTTTTGCGCTCAACTACACAATTTTTTTGGGATGTGTAAGCACATGAAATTTGATGAATAATGTGAGCTTTATGAAGATAAGTAGAAAAATGGTTGGAGGCATATTTACGGGCATTATCAAAACCCAAAATATGAATACGACAACTATATTGAGTTTTTTTCCCATACAGAATGTCTCAAATATAAAAAATAATTCAGAACGAGCTTTTATAAGAAATAACCAAGTCACACGAGATTAATCATCCACAAAGAACACCATAAGAAAATTTATTAGATGAAATATTATTTATTAGATCCCATACATAAGAATATACCAACTCAAATGGATAAGAAACATGATTATTGACTCTAGACTGAAAGGAAACACTAGACAGGAGTAACAAAATGACAAGTAGAAAAGACACTAGACGAATCAATCATGTAATCAAAAACACCAAAGTCTAAGATCTTGGGACTGCGTGTAAAGGATTGTAAACAAGTGAAAGCAATTAGCAGTTGAGGAAGATGGTATTGTACTATTGCCTGTTGCTGAGACATAAACTGACCATACTCCTCTCATGTAATAGTAACTAACGAAGAGTCGTGAGCAGCTGAACGAGATGATGCTTCAGGTAATGGGGAAGTATTGTCCTGATAGGAAACCTAATTAGCAGCACCAGATGACTTGCCATGTAAATTCCAATAATAATCAACAATGAGGTTAGTACGACCACAATGACTACATACACGACTAGTTTGGCCTCCACTATGTCCTCTATGACCACCACAATTGCCACGACCACCTCGAGTATTAGTACTGTTGCCATTAGAGACAACGAGAGCTGAGCGGTCCGTTGAAGAGCTATGATCAATGCCGGAAGTCGAATGGGCATTTGACAAAGTAGCACGCTTAAACGGGAGAATACCTCGAGAAGAGATGGAAGGCTATGACCATCTAAGATCTGAGCACATATAGGCTCATACTTGGGCTTCAAACCAACATCCAAATCCTTACGTTGTTTTATCAGTAGTGGACAGATGGTAAATCTGCAATTCTTCACAAACTCCTCTAACTTGAAAATAATAGTCTTTTAAACCAGTGTTATCAGAATCGAATTGGACCGACTGGTCATACCGGTTGAATTGTGAACCGGGACCTAAAACGGTTCGGTTCTTTAGCTAGACTGTTTAAGGAATTGAACCGTTGGAGAACCGGAAAATCGGCCGGTTTTGGCCAAAATCAGTGAACCGAATATTTCCTAAAACCGACCGGTTCAAAGCTTAAATCCAGTCGGTAGCACTTCGTCTTCTTCATCTCGAACAACGGTGAACATAGATCTCAAACACCACAGATCTAGAACACCACAGATCAAAAACACCGCAGATCTAGATCTCCTTCTAAGTTGTGTAAGCCTTCTTCTCCTCTTCTCTCTCTCTCTCCACGCAAACATAGTGACACAGACCCACAAAAATGAAGGAAAAGTTGTTTGGTCTTCTTGTTTTCTCTCTTTCTCTCTCTGATATGCTGTATCGTCTTTCTCTCTTTCACATGTTGGGTCCTATCTCTCTCTCTACACGCCATACACACACGGGTAATATGAATAATTGAATATAAGTTAAATAGTTAATATACACTTTTTTTACTAAGAATATACACAAACACATTCAATAGTTGAGTTAAGACACAAATATAATATTTGATTTTTATTGTGACTAAAATTTTAGTTAAATTCTTATTTTATAATTTTTATAATTTTTTTATTATATGACCGATTCGATCAGTTAACCCAACAATTAAACCAGAACCATTGACCCAGTCCCTCTGCCGGTTCAATGTTCGGTCCGGTTCTGATAACATTGTTTTAAACTCATAGTACCCTGCTCAAGGTAAAAATATTGTTTGCATACCTTATAAGTACGAGTAAAATTGCATGTGCCAGAATACATGGTTGCCAAATGATCTCATATTTCCTTGGCAAAATTAAGATAAAGTAATGTAGAAATGTAGAGCTAATACGAGACTCAATACTATTCAACAGTAATGAAATAATTTGTGCATCCTCTTGTTCCCACTTATCAAATCTAGGGTCACTGTCCTGGGTTTCTAGCCCACCAAATACTTTTTGAGGCCTTTTCCCATAAGAAAGACTTGAACCGATCAAGACCATAAAACATAATTAGTCCTATTAAGGTTGACTAAAGTTATGAGAACATTAAAAAGAAAAGTTGGGGAAAGTGTGGTGGCAAAGTTGGGGCAAAAACTGGGGGTTCCATATTAAAACACAATCATAAGTTTAGAGAATGGAATGATTAAAACACAATATGAGAGAGGCAAATAGTAATTTTACTTATCCTACCTCTCACTTTCAACTTGTATTTGTAGTTACTTAATGAAACACAAAAGACTAGTGTACTCTTACAGAAGTATACTTATTACAACCATATTAAATACTAACAATATAATAATAATATTCTCAACAAAATCATATAAAATAGTACTAAGAACAAGTATACTACTCATAGTCACAGGCATTATTAGAACGTAAAATGTGAATATGACAACTAAACTGGATTTTGATTTCCTTTGAAATGTTTCAAATATAAAAAAAATTCAAAATGAGCTGTCATGCAAAACAACCAAGTCATACCACTATAATAATCCACAAAAGTAACAAAGTAAGGAAATTTATTACACGAAATATTCCTTAATGGATCCTATATATCAAAGTGGACTAATTCAAATGGATTAAACACATGATATAATTAACTCTACATTGAATTGAAACACGGTGATGCTTACGAAGTTGACAAGGTTCTCAAGATACAAACGACACATGACTAAGATCAAGTACTAGACGCTGGAGAGATGGGTGACCAAGGTGATATTGCCACTGAAATAGACATCAAAGTTTCATGCCCCGTACAAAGATCAAAATATCGTTTCGAAACGGTCAAAATGTCCGAAACGTTTCCATTTCCAAGGAGAGCGAAACGAAACAGTAATGGAATCAAAATTCTGATATTTCGAGGTATTCCATAATATTTTTAAATGTATTATAATATTTCAATGCAATTTTACAATTGTTTTAGAATGTTTCAGGTATTTCAAGAAACTTTAATATATTTTCATCAATGTTTTAGAAAAATAATTCTTAAATTTTTTATTTTTTTTGTTATGTTTCTAAAACGGGTCTAAATATTTTCGAAATACGTCAAAACGTTTCCGTTTCCTACGTGATCAAAACAATACACCGAAACGATATTTTGATCCTTAGCCCCGTACCAATCTTCCTTTTTGTCTTGAGGTCTTGAAATACACAATGAAAAGGATAAAAAATGACTGAGCATTTAAGTGAGCGAGTAATTTTGCTAATAAAAAGTAAACTAAAAGAAAATTGGAGAACAAATAATACAGATGATAAAGACATTGTAGGACTTAGTTGAGTGGTTCCCAAATTTGAAACCTTGGATGAAGTACTATCGGCAAGAGTGACACTTTGAGATGGAATGGCAATGATAAGAAGAGAATACACTAGATGGAATAGTCATGTGATCTGAAGCGCTTAGTCTATGATCTAGAGATTTTTGGTGGACAACAATAAATAGGTGGAAGCGGTACCTAATTGGATAGAAGTAGCAGTAGAGGAAGATGGGACCACCTGTTTCCAAACAAGAACTGAGCATCCTCCTCTCGTGAAATTGTAACTAACTCTGAGTCATAAGGAGCTGAACGGGATGATGGTGCTGTCAACTTTATGACATTATCCTAATAGGAGACCTAATTGGCAACCATAGATGACTTGCCATGCAAATCTCAACAATAATCCACAGTGCGATTATTATGGCTACAAGGAATACAGAGACGACCGCCATGGCCTCTATGATATCCCTCTGTAGAATTGTGACCGACACGGCCACCACCTCTATTGTCTCGGCCACCTTGAGCACTACCACTACTACCATTATAGGTAACTAAGCCTGAGCGATCACTAGTATGGCCACGTTCTGCACATAAAGCAGAATGATCATCTAAGTGAGAAAATGTAGCACGCCGCATTTGACAATGTAGCACGCTCTAAGTGAGAAAACACATCAGGGAGGGAAGGAAGGGCTGGACTCCAAAATTTCTGTGCACGGATAGGCTCATACTTAAATTTCAAGTCAATAAAAAAGGGATGACATCAAAATCTTCTCATCGCTGTATATGTGTGATATCATTGGTGATTGGTTGATACAACTTCATTTCTTCACAAACACCCATGACTGGAAAAATATTTCTCTAAACTTTGATTACCGTGCTCAAGGCTAAAATTTTTTTACACACCTCATAAATACGAGTAATATTACCATTGCCGGAATACATACACATTAAATGATCCCATATCTCCTTGGCAGTATCTAGGAAGAGTAAGGTGGAGCTGATATGAGGCTCAATACAATTTGACATTTGCGAATCTGTGCATCCTCTAGTTCCCACTAAGTAAACCCAAAGTCACTTTCTTTTGGTTTATCCTCCACCAGATGCTTACGAAGGCCTTTACCTTTAAGGAATACATCAACAGATTGAACCAAAATGACATAATTAGTTCTATGAGCTTAACTGAAGTCATGGGAACATTAAGGAACGAGGCAGGTGAAAAGTTTGTGGGAGATTTGGTGAGAGAGCTTCAGTATCTGTTTTTGAATACATTTCGATCACGGAAAATAATCAAGACCGCTGAATCAGAAATCGAGTTCAAATATTATGAACCAGTGCTAGAATTAGCCAAAAAGAGACTTGAACAGGTTCTGAAATGGATGAACAAGGGCAAAAATTGATGAAAATTGCCTCAGAATGGCTGAACCGGATCTGAACCTACTAGCAGGTAGCTGAGCCTGAACCGGCACTAAAGTGCGCTGAACTGGTACGAAAAACACTGAAACAGACTGAAGCTTCACTGTTGGGGACTGAACAGGCCCTGAAATTAATCAATAATAAATGAACTGGCCTGAAAATAACAAAAGGTTGAACCGGTGAAGAAAGACACTAGAGCCAGTCCAAAGCCAGTTTGAAACCAAGCTGTAAGGGTTTGAACTGGATCTGAACCGGTCTAGGCTAAACATAAGGATCATCAAAACACCAAACCATAGGAATCTTTCTCAAATTTATGAGGTGTGTAATGTTTAGCTTAGTTAGGAAGGCAATATTTCGCATGCTAAAGTGTGCCTAAGCATCAAAGCTCATAGTGCGATAGGGAAGTATCCTTGTCCAAAGCGAAAGGAAAGAAAAATGAAGAGGATACGTACGAGACGACGGATATTTATGGCTATAAGTTGGAGGTAGGGTGCCGATATTGCTGCGGCCGCTCGATAGTAGAGGTGGCTACTCTCGCCATGCTTCATGGCATGGGCATCGTAAAAAGCAAGTTGGGCAAAGAAGGTGGCACCGGTCTAGGCTTAATTGAACGTGGTTGAACCTGTGCAAGTCTTGGACTGTACCTGCTGGACTACCTGGATTGGGCTGAATCAGGGCTCAAATAAACAACTGAGATAGACCAGATCATTAAACCCACTGCTACACCCTTGGAAGATCTCGTCTTCTTTATAAAAACCTGCGACCAAAGACACCGATTGCGACAACCCTACGTCTGGTGGCTCCAACACAGTCCAATTCCTGCAACGGCTAGTAATTCCACAGACGACAACAGTGCAATACACCGGCGAAGGCACAACCAACAATAACACATTAGATTGATCGATTTGGCAACCAAACAAAATCGAAAACAGCCGGAGATTCCCGTTAGCCAATCCTTCAATGATTTACAGCCAACAGAGAGCAAATTGAAGGATCTGCATGGGACAGAATGATAACAACTATTGCCGACGATAATCGCACACAGTTTACACCACCAACAATCTTGACCACTGTTCACTCATGGCAAACAACTGTTCATTCACAGATAACCATGAACCCTAGCAGATGCGAACCCAATATTTTGGTCTAATACCATGTGAAGTTTAGAAGGTAATAATAGAGAACAATTGGGAAAAAGAATTGTGTGAGAAGAGGTAGAGAGATTTTATCTTGCCCTACCTCTCACCCTCAACTTATATTTATAGTTGTCTATGAAGATATAAAAGATGGGTATACCTTTAGAGATGTATACTTATTGGTCATTAAAATCATATTAAATAGTAATAATAACAAGTACACTACTCATATTCTCAATAGTTTCAATGGGCTAAAGAGTATGCAAGTGAATGAGTCATGACTAGGTAGTTACCTTTCCTTTCAACTGCCTTGGAATGACTAAAATGTTAGATCGTAGTTCTACTTTTTTGCCCTAAGATTGCCTATGACTTTGCAAGAATTTGAAACTATCATGTGGACTCCTCTGTTTGTTTTTGATGAGGAAATCTCACTTCCTAAAAAAGGCTTATGAAGTGTTAGCTCTTATCACCTTCAGCAATGTCCTTGTCCATCCAACTATATAGATGTCCACCAAAAAGTTTGGTTTGAAATTGCAATTGGTTCACTAATGAAGGGAAAACACAATCTCTATTAACGAAAATCAGGGAAGAGCTCTCTAAAAAGAAATGAGCAATGCTATTGGGATATAATTTAGGGACATAATTTGAGGACATAATGCATTGTGACCAATAGATTGATAGTGAAATGCATTTAATGATGACACCCAATCCATTGTTCACAATTCATTATGTCTCTCAATTATGTTCCAATAGCATTAGTGAAAAGAAATTCCATTTTGTGAATTTATTTGTGAAGATGGCTTCTAAAATGTTTTCTAGTAGTTGTTCAAATAATCAGCAATGATAGTCTACTTAGTAAAAGGAGAAAGATGGGTTTGTGGTAGCCTAAGGAGCAAAATTTCATCTCATTTCCATCGAAATAACCAAAAACTTCTCGGTTTTTGCAGAAATTAAAAATGAATTAGTGATGAAAAATTGAAATTTGTGTGTTTCGGAAAGTTTCAGGCGAAGTTACTGATTTCCATTTTGTATCCAAAACTTTCCAAATTGTTTCCACTTTCGAGCTAAGCGAAATTGTGTATTGAAGAGAAATTTGTACCATTTTTTTGTAGCATGGGTTCAGTGCTAGAATCGGATGCATGGTGATAATATTCATCTTTCCCTTTTGCTATGCAAATGTAGAAGTATGTTTGGGTGGATGGCAATGTGTTGTGGGACCAAAAAAAAAAAAAACAAACAGCTGGAAAGAAAAATAGACATTTTGCATGATCACATGAAACTATTACTATATAACAAGGGAGAGCAAGGGGTTTTGTCTCCTTGATCTCTACATACATAGTTAGTCTATATTAACTTCTAATAACTACCCACTATCCCCTCACTTGCTCTCCTCCACTCCCTAATCCTCTCACATCCTACGTTTGTTTTGACATCGTGTCTTACCTCTAGTATGTTCAAAGGGAGCATCTGTGGTGAAAACCACAGACTGCATTGCTGTTCTTTGCAAGTCTATGATGAAGGATTTTCGAAAACTCATTTTAATCTAAGTTATTTATATTTCTTGCCTTTACTACTAATACAAGTTTAAGATTATTTTGCAAACAACTTCATGTTTTCTGTCCATGTACCCTTATTCTCGTTTTTTGTATTTTTTTTGAACATTTTGGGGCATGCCTTGATCCCTGTGTAGCTCAACTTGATCAGTGAGAGGCCTTCTCATTGTGTTCAAGAAAGGGGAGCAAGTTGTCAATTCTGTTCCAGTCCACAACATTCCGTTTTCTCCTTTTTAGGTTCAAGTTCTTTGCAAACCCAGTTTATTCATCACCTTCATGTTAGACCTAAACCCTAACTTAGTAATTACTTGCCTCAGTTTCCTTATGCTTGGACTGGCTATTAATATTCCCTATGGACATAGGTTGATATATTTTCATACCATATAAGTTGGTACTTGATGTTATTGAGGAAAAGGACCTTGCAAATTTACTCTCCTTGCTAAAAAATGCAAGTTTTCTGGTTGCACATTTTCTTTACTCAAGAAGCATCTAGGCAAACAACTGTGTTTGTTGCATGGGGTAGCATGAGTTGATGAACTTTATGCTTGGACATTGTTTTATTTGTGCAACTTTTGTCCTCTATAGTTACTCAAGGTTTTACTTTTACATGTTAATTCTACATTGTCTGTAATTGCAGGCTATTGTCTTCAGGGCTGATGATTTCAAAGGGTTGAGTGTTCCTCTTCCAGCAGTTGTGCAGGTAAACAACAAACTATTTGTATGATGATGACTTTGCTTAGTATACCCCGGCATGTATTAGCCTAGTGTCGGTGAGGCCGTGAGGGGATCAATGTTTGGGGGGTCTAGATTTCAAGGATAGTTCAACATATTTGTCAGTCATAATATCCATTTTTGCTAGAATTGTCTTTGATCCCTATTAGGATTGTGAGCTGATTAGCTTTGTTACGTGATGTGTTATTTCTAAAATAAGGATATTTTAGTATTTTTTGTCTTTATATCTATATAATAAAACAGGAGTGTGTTTGAATTTTGTCCCAGTCATATTTTCCCCCTAAAAACTATCATCAATCACTTACTTCATCCATCATCCTTTTGTCAGACTCAAACGTCAAATCGCATCACTTATTTCTATCATATGTTTAATCATTTATATATTTCTTCCCTAAAAAAATTACATCACTCATTTTTATCATATATTTAATCATTTAATATTTGATTAATTTGTAGATAATATATTTTGAAAAAAATTAATGTAATGGGATTAATTTTTTGGGCGGTCGAATTTTATATTTTATTGTGCCTTCAGGCACGGGTTATGACTAGTATATTTATATAATAAAATAGTTAGGTGTTTAAAATTTAATCTCATACATATTCCCCCCCTAAAATCATCCCATCACCCATTTCTATCATATGTTTAATCATTTAATACTTGATTAATTTATAGTTTAACATAATTTTTATTTCAAACATTATCCAAACATGATAATATACATATGTTAAAAAAATGTCGGATTACATATTTTTGTTGATATTTTTAAAAAAATAATGAGTAAAAATAAATTTTAAATGATGTAATCTATATAATAAAACAATTAGGTGTTTAAAATTTTATCCCATATATATTTTTCCTAAAAAAAAAATAAAAATCATCTTATCTCCCATTTCTATCACATGGTTAATCATTTAATATTTAATTAATTTATAATTTAACATAATTTTTATTTCAGATATTATTCATATACGATAGTATACACATGTTGAAAAAATTTGTCGAATTACGTATTTTTGTCGATATTTTTAAAAAAATAATAGGTAAAAATAAATTTTAAATGATGTAATCAAATAAATGAAGGAAAAAAAATTATTATTTAATATAGTGAGATTGATTTTTTGGATGCTGGAATTTTATGTTTCATTGTGCCTTCATGCACAGGTTATAACTAATATATATATATTACAGATAGGAAGTTGAATTCGCACAACAATTGTCAAGATTGATCCATTCTTGATCAATCTTGATCTAATGATACAAAATTTATTCTAAAGTTTTTTCCGCCCAAAAAATATCAACTTCTCTACACGACTTCCTATGTCAAATAACTCAATTAACACACTTCTCAATGTCAAACAATCTCATCAATCCACAACTACCTCTCTTTTTATTTTAATTTTAAATTACGTAATTAAAAAACCTATATAATTATTTAAAATACAAATATCGCAAGATCAGTTCGATTTTTGATATGGTATAATGTCTTTAGATACAAGGTTTAGTTGTGTAACCTAACACACTATTCTACTATGATAATCATCTCTTTTTCTCCAATAATTCTTTCTCAAAACTCCAACGGCTTTACAATTTGGTATCATAGCCATGATCCAAATCAATCATCCCAAAGTTATTTGAATTCGTTAGAATCTAACCTAGTCGTGAATAGTGATTGTCAGACATCGTCTAATGTGCTGATGTCAGCATCTGACAAATTAACATCAACACCGAAGATGCCTGAATTTTTCCAAAACAGGGTCCCAGATTCACAAGTATTATGGTTATTTTTCAGGAATTTTTTGAAGTCGTTTGAGTTGTATTTTGAATTTTTGAATATTTTTTGGATATTTGATAATTAATTCCCTGGAAGTGCGATCTGCAATGTTCAAGCAATTTGAAGGTTTTTTTCGACTCGACCTGGCTCTATGGATTGTGATTAGGGTTGATCTACAATGCCCATTAGGATTTATAACTTTATTGTTAGTTTTAATATAGAGCATGATCAGATTCGGGTTCAGATTTTAGGTCGTAGTCTCTTTCCTACTTTACGAGAGGCTTATGTCCATGTTCAATAGGAGGAGTCGGAGGATTGTCAGGTTTATGCTCTTAGAAACAGTCTGTGTTGGTTGTTTTCCCTCAGTGTGACTTGAGTTTAGTCTTGCCCAAGTCTACTGAGACAAGTAGCATTGTTGCTAAGGATACCTTAAAGTGTGACTATTGTCGGAAGACATGACATTCTAGGGAGTTTTATTGGAAGCTGATTGTACATCCTTTACGTAGCCGAGGGGATAGTTGTGGTGGTGGCTGAGAGGGGGATAATGTGTGATCTCATGCACACATGACTTATTCTTTAGAGACTTCATGTCAAATTGCTCCCTCTAATTTCTCTCCCAATGAGATGCAAACTCTTATTATGTTATCATACATTCCTTGAAACAGATTTTGGAGCCACTAATCATATGACAGGTTCTAGTGTTTTCTTTTCATGTTCTACATATTTTAAAAGGAATAAAGTCAAAGTGGCAGATGGATTTTTATCCTTTATTCCGGGAAATGTTCAGTTGATTGCTTATCCACCTTTATCCCTTTCCTTTGTTTTTCATGTTCCAAAATTCTCCACTAATTTATTGCCTGTTAGTAGCATTACAAAGTTCTTGAATTGTTCAGTAATGATTTTCCCTACTCATTGTAACTTTGAAGAACTGAAATTAGGGAAAAATATTGGCAGTGGTGAAGCACATGGTGGTCTGTATTTTCTTGATTCTGAAGCTTCTTCTTAGCCTACCTTCAAGCTCTCTAGGTAGATGGTGTCTTACCTCTTCAGCTCCTACATCAGTGGCATAGACGTTTGCGGTATCCCTCATTTGGTGTCTTAGAGCATCTTATTTTTAGTCTATTGAAACAATGTGGTAGATAATTTTTTGTTTGTGATGGTTGTGAATTTGTCAAGCATAAACGTTCATCTTGTCCAAATGCTAATAATAAGAGCACTGATTCTTTTGTCATTATTCATTTTGATGTGTTGGGTCCTTGTGTTATGTCTACCTCTGACTATTGTTGGTTTGTCACCTCTATTGAATATTTTTCTTGTCTTACTTGGGTTTACTTACTATGTACTAAAAGTAAAGTTTTCTAATGCTTTAGATCTTTCCGTAAAATGGTGAATACCTAGTTTGGTGCAAAAATCAAAATTCTTAGTCACAGTGGAACTGCATATATTGATGGGAAATTTTATTCTTACCTCAATGACAATGGTATTTTGTATGAAACTACTTGGGTCAGTACCCTTGAATAAAATGGTGTTACTGAGCGAAAAGACTGTCATCTTCTTGTGGTTGTTCGTTTATTATTGTTTACTAGGAATGTTCATTAGTCTTTTTGGGGGGAGGTAGTTCTTACCGCAACTTATCTTATTAATTGCCTACCATCGAGTCCTCTTTAGTTTTAGTCACCCATTGAGTACCTTTTTGAGTCTTAATCCATTCCTTTTATTTCCTTACTTCCTTCTGAAATTTTTGGGTATGTTTATTTTGTCCATGACTATAGATTGTCTAGGAGCAACTTGATCCCAGGGCTTTGAAATGCGCCTTTGGTGGTTATTCTGCCATACAAAGGAATATAAATACTATCATCCACAGTCTCAAAAAATGTATATTCACATGGATATTATCTTTCTTGTATTTGAGTCTTTTTTCTCTACTAAATCATCTCTTCAAGGGGAGAATACCGCTTTATGGGAAAAGAAGTTTTGTCAGTTGTCTCTTGTTTAATTGCTTGTTCAGTGGAATGTTAGTGAGGGAGAGCAGTAGGCCTTAGGGGAAAAAAGCGATATCAGTGGTTCACCTGGTGTTTACCTTGACAAGGACAATTTGAAGATTTGTTCTCGGCGTCAAAAGATACAGATTACCCATGTGCCACTGAATCAGTTGAATTCCTCAATTCTAGTTTCATCCTCTGCTGATTTATCATGTAATGAACCTCCAAATATTATTCCTGCTATGAATAGTCCAATTTTTTATGACTCTAAGCTTCCTATTTCAGTAAAAAAAAAGTGTTCGAGCATGTACTTAACATCCCATCTCTAACTGTCTCTTATAATTCCTTGTCTCCATCCCATATTGCTTTTGTTTTCTCCCAGTCTTTTGTGTTGTTCTTTTGGGTTAGAAAAGGCTCTCACCGATCCTAAGTGGAGAGAAGTTAGGGTAGAGGAATTGAAAGCCTTGAAAAAGAATAACACATAAGAGTTAGTTA